CCCCACGGCCCTCTGCCCGCCCCACAGCCCTCTGCCCCCCCCACGGCCCTCTGCCCGCCCCCCCCACGGCCCTCTGCCCCCCCCACAGCCCTCTGCCCCCCCCACGGCCCTCTGCCCGCCCCCCCCACGGCCCTCTGCCCGCCCCCCCCCACGGGCCTCTGCCCGCCCCCCCCCACGGGCCTCTGCCCGTCCCCCCGCCCTCTGCCCGCCTCCCCCACGGCCCTCTGCCCGCCCCACCCCGGGCCTCTGCCCGCCCCCCCGCCCTCTGCCCGCCCCCCCCACGGCCCTCTGCCCGCCCCCCTCACGGGCCTCTGCCCGCCCCCCCCCCACGGGCCTCTGCCCGCCCCCCCCCCACGGGCCTCTGCCCGCCCCCCCCCACGGGCCTCTGCCCGCCCCCCCCCACGGGCCTCTGCCCGCCCCCCCCACGGGCCTCTGCCCGCCCCCCCCCCACGGGCCTCTGCCCGCCCCCCCCCCACGGCCCTCTGCCCGCCCCCCCCCCGCCCTCTGCCCGCCCCCCCCGCCCTCTGCCCGCCCCCCCCCCGGCCCTCTGCCCTCCCCCCCCGGCCCTCTGCCCGCCCCCCCCACGGCCCTCTGCCCGCCCCCCCCACGGCCCTCTGCCCGCCCCCCCCCACGGGCCTCTGCCCGTCCCCCCCCCCCGGCCCTCTGCCCCCCCCACGGCCCTCTGCCCGCCCCCCCCCACGGGCCTCTGCCCGTCCCCCCCCCGGCCCTCTGCCCCCCACATGGCCCTCTGCCCGTCCCCCCCCACGGCCCTCTGCCCTCCCCCCCAACGGCCCTCTGCCCTCCCCCCCCCAACGGCCCTCTGCCCTCCCCCCCCCACGGGCCTCTGCCCTCCCCCCCCCACGGCCCTCTGCCCGCCCCCCCCCACGGGCCTCTGCCCGCCCCCCCCCACGGGCCTCTGCCCGCCCCCCCCATGGGCCTCTGCCCCCCCCACGGGCCTCTGCCCTCCCCCCCCCCACGGGCCTCTGCCCGCCCCCCCCCACGGGCCTCTGCCCGCCTCCCCCCCACGGGCCTCTGCCCGCCCCCCCCACGGCCCTCTGCCCCCCCACGGCCCTCTGCCCGCCCCCCCCCACGGGCCTCTGCCCGTCCCCCCCCCCGGCCCTCTGCCCGCCCCCCCCCACGGGCCTCTGCCCGTCCCCCCCCCCGGCCCTCTGCCCCCCCCACGGCCCTCTGCCCGCCCCCCCCCACGGGCCTCTGCCCGTCCCCCCCCCCGGCCCTCTGCCCCCCCACATGGCCCTCTGCCCGCCCCCCCCCACGGGCCTCTGCCCGTCCCCCCCCCCGGCCCTCTGCCCCCCCACATGGCCCTCTGCCCGTCCCCCCCCACGGCCCTCTGCCCTCCCCCCCAACGGCCCTCTGCCCTCCCCCCCCCCCACGGGCCTCTGCCCTCCCCCCCCCCACGGCCCTCTGCCCGCCCCCCCCCACGGGCCTCTGCCCGCCCCCCCCCACGGGCCTCTGCCCCCCCCACGGGCCTCTGCCCTCCCCCCCCCCACGGGCCTCTGCCCGCCCCCCCCCACGGGCCTCTGCCCGCCCCCCCCCACGGGCCTCTGCCCGCCCCCCCCCCACGGCCCTCTGCCCGCTCCCCCCCCACGGCCCTCTGCCCACTCCCCCCCCACGGCCCTCTGCCCGCTCCCCCCCCACGGGCCTCTGCCCGCCCCCCCCCACGGGCCTCTGCCCGCCCCACCCCCCGTGACTGCACTGCACGGCCCCATGGCAGGGGGTGGGGGGGGCACGCACTGCTTGTCCTACTGCACGGCTGGGGGGTGGGGGCGGGGGTAGCTATTTGTTGGGGCTTCGGTCATCTGGGCCGAGCTCCCACACCCAGGCTGCTGCCAGCCGTTGGCTGGGCCCTGCGTCCAGGGACGGCCACTCTGTTGGCAGCTTTGAGCACCTGTGTGCGGCTCGGCCAGGGGAGGCGGAGCTGGCGGGCAGGGTCCTGACGGCCTCGAAGCCCACGTGGCAGACGGGCCCCAGGAGTCAGGAAGGCCAGGTCCTGAGGGTCCACCAAGTCTCGGGATTGACCCCTCTGACCCCTACTCTGGGAATGAGGATCAAGGGGCAGAGGCCATGACCTATGACCCAAGTCTAGGAAGTCACACAGCTTTGTCACCTCGGGGAGCCCCAATCGGCCCAGATCCCCAGCCAGGGGAGGGGCAGGGCTCCGGGACTGTGTCCCAACTGCCCTCAAGTCCACTCCTCAGGGGTCCTGGCACCAGTGGGCCCTTCCAGAGGGTGGAGTTGGTCTGTCCGGTGTCTGTGGGGCCCGGCCTGGGGAGCCCCGAGCCTCGGATGGGAGTGTCAGCCCAGTGCTCGCCCCCCAGGCTCCCAGTCGCCCCAGCCCCCCCTTCCCCCCCGGGGCGAGTGTCTCCGCTCTGCCTGCTGAGGAGCCCTCGTCCTGAGGTGCAGGCCCCCCCCCCCACGGGCCCCTCGTCGGGTTCCTGCCTCAGTCACACCTGCAGAGCCAGGTGGACGCATCTCGTGGGGCCGACACAACACAGCTGACCCTCCGCCGGTTCCCTCGCAGGCACAGCAGAGGGCCCAGCAGTTTCCCGGCCTCAGTGACGGGACCCCGCCCACCAGCTGTGCCCGGCTCCCACCGTCAGCGATGTGTGTGCCTCCTCACTCCTCCATCCACGAGGTCCGGAGGGGCAGGCGGAGGTCCAGGGTGACACCTTCCGGAGAGGACAGAGGAGCCGCCTCCTGCACCGCCCTGTCCCCTCCAGGCCACGCCGCCGCTGCCCCAGGCCACGCTGCCACCCAGGCCTCGCCACGGCCCCCGCCCCAGGCCACACCGCCGCCCAGGCCTCGGCACACGCTGCTGAAATGCCTGTGGGCACATTTCTCCGTGCTCCGCCCTGAGCCGGGTTCTGCCTGTCAGATTCGGCTGATGTTCCTCCGGTGACGGGTGAGGCTGGAGCCCCCGGCTCTGGGACCCCGCCTCTCGCTGCTCCTACGTCTCCTCCAGCCACGGGTGCCCCGTCTCAAAGGGTGCTCTCCAGCCTGAGGTGAGCCCCCAGCCGGTCAGCCACGCCGTGAATTCACAAGTGAAGCGAGGGGTCCCTGCCCAGCCTCCGGCCGGCTGGGCCCTGCTCCTGGGCGAGGAGGTGAGGACGGACACCACCGGGTTCGAGCTGCAGGGGCACTGTCCGGCCCGGGACTTTGGGAAACGGCCTCGCACATGGAGGGCTTCCTGGCACAGGGCCTCCTCCCCTGCTCTTCCCAACCGCACAGCTGAGCACCGTCCCGCAGGAGTCCATTAAAAGCCGGTCACCGCGAGGTCAGGACCCCGGGGGCCGCCGGGCGGGCTGCGGGCGGGGTGGGCGGCCCGTCTGGCTGAGTGGCTCCGTCCAGCCGGTGGGAAGTGCGGCTGGCGGGAATAAAGCTGCCATTGTCCGGGCCCTGGAAGCGATTAATGAGTAACCGGCTGGCCCGGCTGTAAATGTTGTTATTGCGACAGAATAAGGTGCCGTTTTCCTGCCGTTGTGAGTGGGCCCCGAGCCCCGGCCGGTCGGGGCCGACGACCGGAGTGGGTGTCCAGCAGCCCTGGGTGTCCCTGTGGGCCCATGGCCACCGGGTGCCCGCTCTGAGCTGCCCCCCCTCAGAGCAGGTGCAGCCCAGGCACCAGACCCAGCAGTGGCCACTCGGGCCCCTGACGGGGGGCCTCCGGGTGAGGGCACCCTCACCAGGCCCTGAGGGGGAGCTGCCAGGGCGGGGCTGAGGGGCCCTGGGCTGTGGGGCCTGTTTGGAGGTGGCTGCTCCTGACCTGGAGGAGCAGGGGGGCTGGGTCCCGGGCGGGATGGGGGTGAGGGCGAGTCCCAGGGCAGCTGGTGAGCTCTGCACCGAGGACCTGGCGCCGTGCCTGGTGACCACATGGACGGAGCAGAATCAGGGGCGGCCGGCCGGCCTGTGGGGGGCAGGGATCCGCCTCCCCATCTCGGTGAAAAGCGGAGGCACTGAGTGGGGTGCCCAGCTTTCAGGACTGGCGGAGAACTGGGGTCTCCACTGAGCCTCTCCCTGTTGTCACTGTTGCCACAGCAACAAGGAATGACCGCCAGGGGCTTGCCTCTTCACTGGCCCTGGTTCCCACAAAACCCCCAATGCCGCAGAAGCGGTCCTGGCCCGGTAACGGCCAGGCGAGGTCCTTAGGGGCAGGCCCTTCGCCAGGGATCAGTGGGGAAATCTGGGCCCAACCCGCCCACAGGAGAGGCCGGTGAGGATGGCAGAGCAGAGCGCAGGTGACGGGTCTACAGCCAGGAGCCTGCAGGCCACTGGGAGAGGGAGCCCGCGCGGTTGAGTGCAGCGTTGACCTGTGATCCAGGAGGTCCAGGTTTGATTCCCGGTCAGGACACGTGCCCAGGTTGCCCACTCGATCCTCAGTTCCATCTGTGATTCTCTCTCATCACTGATGTTTTCCTCTCCTTCCTATTCCTCTCCAAAATCAATAAAAATATATTAAAGATAAAAATGTATTTTAAGCGAATAAAATTTTAAGAAATTAAAAAAGATGGAGAGGCACCGCGCAGAGGGAACCAGCCTGCGGGCACCTCCAGACACAGATTAATGTCTGTGGTCCGGAGCCGCCCAGGAAGTCAGGCCCCGGTGTCCACAGCCCCGGTGTCCACAGCAGCGCCTCGGAGACCCCCCTCCCGCCCCCGCTCCCTCCCTGAGGCCTCCCTGGGGCTCGGTGTGCTCCGAAGCTGTGCGTCCTCAGGCCAGCAGCCGAACCTCTCTGAGCTTGCCCCCGCCGCCGGGCTGCTGCGAGGGTCCCGGACTGGGCCCGGAGCGGGCCGGGCGGAACCAGGGGCTCCTCCCGGGGTCCGGGCCTCGCAGAGCCCGCGGCGGGAGCCTGCGAGGGAGGGGGTGGAGGGGTGGGAGGGGCCTGGCGGGGCCTTGCTGGTGATGGGCGGGGCCTTGCTGGTGATGGGCGGGGCCTTGCTGGTGATGGGCGGGGACGGGCGGGGGCGGGGGCGGGGACGGTGATGGGCGGGGCCTGGCGGGGTGGGCGAGGCCTTGTTGCCGAGGCCGCTCCGCGCGCTCGGCGCTCCCTAGGGGTGCGCTCGGCGCTCGGCCGGCGGCCTGCGTAGTGCGTGCGTCGCCCTCGGAGGCTCCGGCGCCACCATCATGTCTACGGCCATGAACTTCGGGTCCAAGAGCTTCCAGCCGCGGCCGCCGGACAAGGGCAGCTTCCCGCTGGACCACTTCGGTGAGCGGCGCGGGGTCTCGGGCCGCGGGGAGCCCGTCGGCGCGTCCAGCGCCTGTCTCTCGGCCTAGCGGCCCGCGGTGGCGAAGCGCCCGGAAGTCAGGCTTCGGGGAGAGGCGGCGCTTCCGCCCGCGGGCTCACGGGGCTCCTCACACAGCCGGGCCGCGGGCGGCGCCTCGTGGGTCGGCCGTTCCCGGAGGAGAGGCTGCCGTGAGCGCGCGGCCGGGGCGCTTCGGAGACAACATGCCGCCTTCGCTTCCGCCCCAGGTGAATGCAAACGCTTCCAGGAGAAGTTCATGAAGTGCCTCCGCGATAACCAGTTCGAAAACGCCTTGTGCCGACACGAGTCCAAAGACTATTTAGAATGCCGGATGCAGAGGCAAGTAGGGCGGCCCGGCCCCGCCCACCGCGCCGCTGCCTTCCCAGAGGCCCTTGCGGCGCCAGGTCCGCCCCGCCCAGCTAGGGCTGGCGCGTGCGCACGGGAACTTCCCCTCGGGGCACCTTGCGTTCCTCCCAGCATCCTCTGCGGTCCTGGGTGGGCGCCGTCACTGCGGTTTCAGGCCGAGTGAGGAGACGAAGGCGGTGGTGCGGGGACCTCCCTCCCCCAAGCCCACCGCCCTGCTTCGTGCCGTTTGCAATGCGGCCGGTGACCGGAGACCGCGGGCTGCTTAGTGACCGCCCCACGGCGCCCCCGTTCGGCAGAGCCCGTAATACTTCTTGTTAAGCCTCACCCGAGGGTGTTTCCCATCGAGCTTTCTCAGAGAGAGTGGGAGAGAAGGAAAGACGAACGTGGGTGTGAGGGACCCGTGGGTGGTTGCCTCCTGCAGACGCCCTGACGGGCCGATGGTCGCTCCATTCCCTGAGCCACACTGGCCGCTCAGGCACCACCACAGGGCTGTCCCCGGCCCTCCTGCTCCCGAGGGCCGCGCCGGGCCGCAGCGGGGGATCCAAAGCAGCCTCCCCCAGAACCCACTGAGCCTGCCGCCTAGGGGGTTCTCACGGGTTTCAGTGTGTCCCTGGGGTCCTGGGTCCGCCCGGCAGGGAAGTCAGGCTGCAACTCAGGGAACTGTTGGCCCAGGCGCCCTCCTCACCGGGACGTGGCGAGAGGGTGTGGCTGGGCCTGGCTGGAGTGGGAGCCATTGCCCTGGATCTGCAGCCAGTCCACACTGCTGACCGGCGAGCTGTCTGTGGACATTTCCCTGAGGCTTTGTTAGAGCCCAGGATGCGCTCTGACCGCCCCGGCCAGGTCGGGGACACCTCCCAGCCAGCACATAGTTCAGAGGCCATGGAGAGGGCAGTGGTGCCCTGGGGACACGTGGCGTTGCCATCTGAGCCTCAGGCCACTTTGGCTTCCCAGCGGCCAGCCTGCAGGTGCCAGTTGCCACAGGTTCCCAGGATCTGGCCTCCCTGCCCCCCACCCGCCCTGTCTCCCAGCCACAGGCCCCTCCCAGCCCCTCAGCTGCCTCACCCGTGGAGCTCCCACTACACCGACCATCCAGGTTGGTGGTGGCAAGTGTGGTGAGTAAGGAGCTGACCTCCCAGCTTGTCCAGCCCTCCTGGGACACAAATTCCTTAGTCTGCCCTATGCATAGGCTTTTATTTTTCAAGTGGATTCTGGCTTTTTGCAATGGAGATAGTCCATCACATGCAGAGTGCAGTCCAGTGAGCCCTGCCCCTGTCCCACATACCCATGCCCCTTCCATTTGCTCAGGCCTGAGAGCAAGCCCCAACCTCCTAGCTGCATGAAGCAGCTCCTGGTTTTCCTGTGGGGACGGCTGCAGGCTGAGGCTTGGGTGTCGGTCATTTCGGGCGGGTTGTGTTTCTCAGCAGCGTGGCCACAGGCCCACAGACCCTTCAGAGTCGTGTCTGAGCACCGCGGTGGTCCCAGGTGTCCGGCTGGGGCTGTAGGGGCGCACGCTCAGTGCTGGAAGGTAGGGTGGCAGGTACTAGCACGTCCGGGAAGTGAGCGGGGCCTCGGAGAGCTGCCTCCCCAGACAAACCACGCAGACCAGCCCTTTCCCCGCGTGAGAATGGGAGGCGGGAGGGGCTCCGGGCTCCCGGGCACCTGAACAGCAGGAAGCTGGTGGGGACCAGGCCCCGGGGGGAGGGAGGGGGCGGCCTGAGGCCTGGGCGCTGTCCTCATTCTCCTCCTCCACCTGACACCTGTCCGCCTGTCTTTCAGGCAACTGATGGCACAAGAACCACTGGAGAAGCTGGGGTTTGGAGACTTGGTGGATGGAAAGGCAGACAAACACTGAATCCTCCTGGAAGACCACCGGCGGGCGTCTGGGGCGGAGCCGGGGCGCTGACCTGTCACCCTGAGGGTCACGCGGTGTGACTGAGGGTGTGACAGAAGGGCTTCCGATCACTCGGCGGGCGGGGCTCACAGCGGGAAGGGCTCCTCCCTCAGCCTCCCAGGTCGCAGAGAGGATCCCCCACCCCACCCCACCCCGAGTGAGCTGTCTGAAACGCTGGGAGGCCGTCTGGGAGTGGACACTGGGCCGCATCTTGTAACAATGGACATTTGTGAATTTCAGAAAACTTCCCTGGAAAAGTGGTTTTCTTACCCTTTTTTATAAAACAAAACAACGAAAAAGTAGAACCCGGGAGTATCTGTAACGTAAGAGAAAGACATTAGAAACGGCGGAGATGGCCCTGGCTGGTGTGCGGTTGTTAGAGCAGTGGCTTGCGAGCCACAGGCAGCTCTTCGGCCCCTTGAGTTTTTAGCAAAGGCCAGCTTAGGAGTGCCCTAATTAAGTTAATAACAATGTACCTCCCTGTATAGTTTAAGCTTAAAAACTTTGGCGCTCAAGAGAAATTTCAGTCATTGTACTGCTAATATTTGGCTCTGTGGACTAATGAGTTTGCCGACCACTGGGTTAGAGTGTCGTCCCGGTGCCCTGCCCGTCCGAGAATCAGCCAGCGAGGAAGGGAACAACAAATCGATGTCTCAATAAATTACAAAACAAGTAAAATTAAAGTCTGTGTTGACTGGGTTGAAGACGTTCACGGGAAAGCAACTAGCAAAGCCCGTGTGTTTGTACAAAGGAAACCCCGGCAGCATCGGGAATGGCTCCAGCCTGCAGCCTAACTCTGGCTCGGAGCCATGTTTCACAGCCAGGCCATGGGGGTCCCCAAATGGAGCACCCTGTGCACAGGCGCCCCTGGGCCACCCGGAGGGAGGGGGGAGGGGTGCACCCCAACCTGACGCCCCGAGAAGGCACAGGTCACATGGTTTTCTCGCTAAGTGGGTAACCTGGTACGAAAGGAGGAAGCACAGTCCTCGGAGCGGCTGGTCCGGGAGGACTCCGGGCCCGGCCGGGGGTGGGCGGGAGGCCGCAGCTGAGGGTCTGCAGGTCGGTGGTGGACGCGATGCCACCTTGTCATAATTCCGGAATAAAGCTCCGAGTCTCCGTCTCCTCGGAGGAACAGATGACGTGTCTCAGCTGTGCCACGTGTGGTGCAGGAGCGGCCCCTCCTGGACAGAACCCCTACTTTCTTAGGGCGACACCCCATGGCGGCACCACCAGGCTCAGCGGGCGCCAAGGTGTAGGGTCTGGGCCAGTGTGCTCCTGTGGGGGCTGCTCTGAGTGCCCTGCCCCTTCACTGGGAACTCGGGGTCCTCCTGGTGCTGGACCTGGGGAGGGGCCAGCAGGACAGGGCCACCCCAGAGACTGGCAGCCTGAGGTTTCCTAACCCCGGCTGGTGCTCCAGCCTGGGACCTGGATGGCCAGCCCCGCAGGCCAGGAGCAGCCGTGAGCTCCCGAGGGAGGGGCCTGCCGTCCCCCCGCAGGCACACCCAGGGCCCCAGGGCCCCAGGTGCCTCGTCCCGGCTGTGCCCGCCTTTGTCCACCAGGGCCTGCCCCTTCCCTGCCCCCCAGGCGCCCTGGACAGGGGCTGCGGCCAGGACAGTCCCCCGACCTCCGGCCTCAGGGAGGGACCAGCAGCTCTGGTCCCAGGTGGCGGCTGGCAGGTCAGGGTCCCCCGGATGATGGGGGACGGGCTGGGACACCCCTCCCGGGGCCTGCCTGTCTGAAGGTGCGGGCCGGGGGCCCTTTGGGGCGGGCTCGGGTCCAGCCCCTATAAAAATCGGGCCAAACCCCCAGGAAACCCTTTCCCTCCCCTCTGACCCCGGCGCCTCCGGGACCCAAGGTGGTGGCGTGGCGGCCCCTGCTGGGCGGCGGCGGAACTGCAGCGCGGGGGGGGCACCCAGGGACCTGAAGGTGGGACTCAGATCTCCCTGACCTGCCAGGGCGCCCTGAGGCGCTCAATGCCCCCCCACCCCGTGGCGCCACCGGGGCGTGGGTCACGGGGGGCAGGAACAGAGCTGGGCTCCCGCCTGGAGATGAGCGGGGGCTGTGGGGGGTGTGGGGTGGGGTTGGGGGAGGCTGGGGCGGCTGGGGGTATTTGGGAGGAACTGGGGAGGGCTGGGAGGTCTGGAGGGAGCTGGGGGGCTCACCCGGAGGCCCGCGCTCCGCCCTGAGGCGTGGGGAGCAGGGGTTGGGGTTTGGGGACCCCCTGTGGCCTCCCCCTCCCCATTTTCTAGGGACTTTCTCTTCTCCGGGGCATAGGCGCGCTCAGCCAGGCTTTCACCTGAGGCCGCTCCCCCGGGCGGGAGGACACCGGCTGCTGAGGGTGGTACAGCCGCCGGGCTCCCGGCTCCGGGCATCCTGGGCTCCCGGCTCCGGGCTCTGGGCTTCGGGCTCCGGGCTCTGGGCATCCTGGGCTCCGGGCTCCGGGCTCCAGGCATCCTGTGCTCTGGGCTCTGGGCTCCGGGCATCCTGGGCTCCGGGCTCTGGGCTCCGGGCTCCGGGCATCCTGTGCTCCAGGCTCCGGGCTCTGGGCTCCGGGCTCTGGGCATCCTGGGCTCTGGGCTCCGGGCTCCAGGCATCCTGGGCTCCGGGCTCTGGGCTCCGGGCTCCGGGCATCCTGGGCTCTGGGCTCCGGGCTCCAGGCATCCTGGGCTCCGGGCTCCCGGCTCCGGGCATTCTGGGCTCCGGGCTCTGGGCATCCTGGGCTCTGGGCTTAGGGCTCTGGGCTCGGGCTCTGTCCGCTGAGTCTCCCCAGTGAGAGGTGCCGGGCTCTGAACCTCACTTCCCAGGCTCAGCTCCCAAAGAGAGAGAGAGGGGGAGGAGAGAGAGAGAGAGAGAGAGAGAGAGAGAGAGAGAGAGAGAGAGAGGGAGAGAGGAATCTGAGAGCTTGTGCACCAGGTGGAGGTGACTTCCTGTCAGGGCCCAGCCTTGGCAGTCACATGGGTCTGCAGCCGTTCTGCACTGGCTGAGCAGTCAGAATCCCACCCAGATTCAAGTTGGGAACATAGATCCCTCCTCTCAGTGGGTGGATGAATGGATGGATTGATGGATGGATGGATAGATGGATAGATGGGTGGGTGAATGGATAGATGGATGGGTGGTGGATGGATGGATGGGTGGGTGAATGAATGGATGGATTAATGGATGGATGGATGGATGGATGGTGGGTGGGATGGATGGATGGTGGGTGAATGGATGGATGGATGGATGGATGGTGGGTGGGATGGATGGATGGTGGGTGGCTGGATGGATGGTGGGTGAATGAATGGATGGATTGATGGATGGATGGATGGATGGTGGGTGGGATGGATGGATGGTGGGTGGATGGATGGATGGATGTAGGGATGAATGGGTGGGTGGATGGATGGGTGGGTAGATGGATGGGTAAATGGATGGATGGGTGGGTGAATGAATGGATGGATTGATGGATGGATGGATGGATGGTGGGTGGGATGGATGGATGGTGGGTGGATGGATGGATGGATGGATGGTGGGTGGATGGATGGATGGATGGATGTAGGGATGAATGGGTGGGTGGATGGATGGGTAGGTGGCTGGTAGAACGGAGAAGGAAATATAAGCCCCATTACACCTGTCGGGGCCCATCCGTAGGCTGCAGGGACCTGGTCACAGCAGACGGGCTCAGAGGCCTGTGGAAAGCGTCCCCCCTTCCACCCGGTGCTCGGTGAGGCCGGAGGGCTTCCTGGCTCCTCCGTCTGGTGTGAGGGTCCCTCGTGCTGGTCTCTGCCTCAGACCCCAGGTGTGGTCCTGGAGACGACCCCCATGAAGTGTGTGGCCCAGCCCTTCCCACCTCAGTCTCCCCATCCGCTGAGGCGCATGAGGCCAGTTTCCGGGGGGAGCTGGGGGGGGCAGGACCCCGTCACCGTGTGGAGGCCGGTGGCTCAGCGAAGCTGGGGCGTCCCATCAGCCCAGAGCAGGGGGAGCTGCTCGGTCCTGTTGGAACGTGGGACATGGGTGGGACTGAGCGCGCACCCCTCCGAGCCGGTGCACACGCCGAGTGTGTCCTCAGGCCTGTGCCCGCTTCACGCGTGTGTGTGATGACACTGGCTGCTGTGACTGGGCTGTGAGCGGGGGTGGAGGCACCTGTGTCCATCCTCCAGGTCTGTGCCCAGGCGTCGGCTTGCTGGGCGGTGGTCACTGATTGAACCATCTGAGGAGCCGCCAGGCCAAGGCTGAAGGTGGGTGTGCACAGCGTCCCTGCTGGTCCCCACTCCTCCCCCACACCCCGCCCGCAGGAGGGTGGTGCCTGGGACCCGCTCTGCTCAGGGCTGTGCCCGCTCCCGCGGAGCGCCCGGCCTCCGTGCCCGGCCTCCGTGCCCGGCCTCTGTGCCCGGCCTCTGTGCCCGCTCCCGCGGACCGCCCGGCCTCCGTGCCCGGCCTCCGTGCCCGGCCTCTGTGCCCGGCCTCCGTGCCCGGCCTCCATACTCGCTCCCGCGGAGCGCCCGGCCTCTGTGCCCGCTGGGGCCTGGAGCAGCCCCCGGGCCTGAGGACCCTCAGACCCCCCTCCTCCCAGCTAATGCTGTTCCTCTTCGGGGAACTAAGCAAACAATGTCCTCAAGTGTTTTCCGCCAGGCAGTGCCCGCTCTGCCGCCCACCCCTGCCAGGTCCAGGGTGGAAGCCACTTCAGCCAGATGGGTGCTGCTGCTCCGGCCTCAGGGCCCCGGACACCACACCTTACGGGCCTCTGGGGCTGTGTCCCTCACCCCTGGCTCTGGCCCTGGGGGCGGGGAGGGTTGCCGCCCATTGTGTGCCAGCCCCCCTGCAGAGCGCCCCAAGCTGCCACCCCCTCTTCCCTCTGGCTTTTCTGTCTCTGGCGGAACACAATGGCCCTTCTGTGGGGTGAGCCAGAGGCCACGGTGCCCAGGCTGCGTGGGGAGGCTGTGCCCAGCACGCCTGCCTCACCCTCCGGGCCGGGCCGGGCAGGGAGCAGCCATGGAGCAGGAGGCCAAGGGAGGAAGTGGCTGGAGGGCGGGAGGGGAGGACAGGCGGCCCCCAGAGAGTCCGGCCAGCGGGTCGTGCCGCCCAGAGCGCCGTGCGTGTGGGGGGCGGGGGCGTGCCTGTGGCTGCCCGGCGTGCCCGCTCCGCCCACCCAGGCCAGGGTCCCCGGCCCAGGCCAATTCGGCCGGATGGGTGCTCTCTGCTCCGGCCTCAGGGTCCACCGGGGGCTGGGGTGCCGAGGCCCGAGCCTCAGACCCAGGGCGTCTCCCGGGCCACGGCCTCCCACCTCTGGCAGCGCGGAGGCAGCAAAGGCCACGCATGCCCACAGGCT